AATATTTGCATTGTATTGGGTTGACAACTAAGTAATTGCGGAGACAATTTTTTCATGGAACTAAATAACTTTATTCTGTAATGTATTGCTCATTTTGATCAATGACCTTTTGCCATCTTTCAGGCAGCATCATAATCCCACGTTCATGAAACTTCTGGTTTTTATTAGCAAAAAACTGAATCAGGTACGATTTGACATCATCATCATTATTGAAATTTTTACCATTCAAGGAGTTTTGTAAAGATCACAACAAAAAGTAATCCGATGGTGCAAGGTCAGGACTATATGGTGGATGTGGCAAAACATCCCAACCAAGCTCCAATAATTTTTGCCGAGTGACCAAAGATGTGTGCGGCCTTGCATTGTCATGATGGAACACCTTTTCGATTTATCAATTCGGGCCGCCTTCAACTGCATTGTTTAATTTCGTTAGACAATTCTTTTATAATCCCACCAAACTGATAACAAAACCTTCTTTTGATGAATACCAGCTTTTGATGTTGTTTGAGCTGGTTCACCCGGCCTGCTCCACGATCTTTTCCGCTCGATATTCTTGCAAACAACCCATTTTCATCGCCAATTATCATTCGTTTTAAAAATGGATAATTTTCATTAAATTTCTTAAGCAAATCGCAGCTTTCTTTCAGTTCTTGAGGAAACCATGTATCGAGTTTTTAAACATAGCCAAGTTGTTTTAAAGATTTTCAATGCATGTATGTGATACCTGAAGCCTCTCTGCAATCTCACGTGTTGTACTGTGACGATCCGAATCGATTATTGCTTTGATTAGGTCATCAACTTCAACCGGACGACCAGAGCGTTTGCCGTTCTTTTATGGCTTCGTCGCCATAAACAGCACATAACTTTTTGTGAGCTTACGATGCGTTTTTCTCTTTGCGAAAATAAAAAAGCAAAACTATCAAATAACAAAATGTGTTTTACATTTGGACGACGCCAGCAAACCTAAAAATTCAACTGAAGCTAAGTGTAATCCGCAATTACTTAATTGCCAACCCAATATTTCGAACATGCCGCTTATCAATATTGGCAATGCGAACATCAGATCGATATGACTTCTTTGGCTACTTTTGTTGCTAATAATTATTATAATTAACGATTGCTTCCGTATCAATTGCAACACGAAAAGGTTGGTTAGTTTCTTGAACGCATTCGACCAAAAAACCCTATGACATTCGCAATTGTTCCATGAGACATTGGAGCAATCTTATTTGATGGTGAACAGACTGCGCATTCCTCACTTAAATTATCTTTAAATATACAAATCCCGAAGCAATTTGTAACATAAAGATACATTCCTTCAGTGCCTTAATTTTTAAGAAAGTGCAAAATTATTATCTGGGATGAAAGTACAATAGCTCACAAGCATTTACTTGAAGCACTGAACAGATCCCAAAGATATATCAAAGAAAATACTAGGCTTTTCGGTGACTATCTACTTACGTTACGTCTACCATATATGGACTTAAGTCAAGCATTTGGTAGAGTGAATCACTCAATTATCGTGCAGAAACTAAAACTCCTTGAGTTTCAACCAATATTTCTTTGTGGGATATGTTCCGATCTGAGCAGTAGAATTCAAAGAGTGATATTAAAAAATAAATTATCGGATTCAATTATTGTATTATATGCATGTGCTCTACAAGTCATCTTGAACATTTCAAACTTATTCTAATGTTATGATGTACCCTAAGTTTGATATTGAATTAAGAGATCCGTGTTTGACTCAGTGTTGCTACTACTATCCCATCCGAAAAGTTAGAGACTATTTGAAAACGACTTTTACTTTTTACCTTAGACTGTCTATGGCATTCTAGATAAAATCAGCTTCCGTATACCAATCGTTAAAAATTTAAAAATTATGTCCATTGTTAAAATGTTGAATGGATCAGTAGGTCATACCTTTTATCTAAAGTAAACTTTAGCATCCAAGCATTATATTTTGCATACTAAAAGTCTTTTATGACGCTGTATTTCATCCATGACAAATTTAGGAGTAAAGGTCTTACATATGCGTATTCTATACCTTTTGGGTCAAAGTGAACCGGCAGATGGCTGCATCGAATCCATACCTTATATAACCAAATAATACATTCGGTGTTTACTTACCAATCGTCTCCATTGTAACCGAGATATATAGTGCCGGGTTTCAGAACTTAGTATCTGAGTGGTTCCATTTAAGGAAATTTGTCCACAGATTTTTGAAAGTTCTTATAAATTAAACCATTTCGGCTATTTTACCAGGAGCATATGCTTTTTTGATAATACGTATGCATGCTCTTCTAGGGATTTATCGGATATTTCCAATCGGCTTAATATTTTTAGAAATCTTCATTTGCAGGATAAAATCAATAGATTCCTCAAAAATATATGGGGGAATCAAAGAAATACTTTGCAATATACGAGCGCTAAAGTATTCGGTGAAAAAATAATTTGAAAAGTGTAGACTTGTTGGACATTTCAAACTTATTTTAAATCTTTATTGATATCATTGATTGTTTCTCTCACTGTTTTAGTTTACTAATCGAACACTTAATTTATTTTTGTGACAAAGGTTATACAAAATTATGAACCACCTTTGAGAGGTAAGGGGCCAAAATTTTAGCCGAATCAGACTTTGGTTTGTAGTTTTTAACCGCGAGTGAAAGAGGCCCTGTTAACTCACACCACCTCACACACGATTAAATTAATTGAATAAGGCTATGAACTGCTGCCCATCCCTCGGTTTCTCCAGATTTAGCCCCACGCGACTAATTTTCGTTTCCAAATTTGAAAAAGACGGGCAAACATTTTAACCAAATAAAAAGGTTATCGCCCCTAATACACACCTAATGTAAACGTATTTTTCAGACGGGTTAAAAAAGTTGGAGTGGTGCTGGATCAAGTGTATCGAGCTAAAAGGAAGCAATTTTGAAAATTAAATCACAATATTCTCAAAATTTTCATCTGGCTTTTGTAGCCTAGGGCCTTCGTTGACTATTCGGGGTTAAACACATTAAATTGGTTCACTAGCCAGCATATATTTTTGTTCAATTTATAACAGGATTTTTGAAAAAAAAAAAGTGTATAAGAGGGGGTGAAAACTTCACGTCGTTTAAGGGAAAAGTACATTTTACATGTGGCATGCCTGATTACCAAATCTTATCAACGATATGTCCAACACGTTTGCTCGATGTCTTAAAAGTATCAGCTACCTCGATCAATATTAATTTTTCCTTCATATGCCTTTAAGGGCTGAATATAACTTACTTACTTCTTCGTCGCTAAAAACACTATATCTAATGAACCAATTGTCCGGCACATACTTTTTGAAGGTTAGGTCAAACTACAAAATTTATGGACTCTCCCAAAAACTTTTATAGAAACTATATGACCTTTTCAGCCTACCTGGAAGGTATTATTTTCTTTTTACATGGAGATTACATGTACCTCAGTGATGCAGAGGGGGGATTCTCAAGGGGGCCTGGTGCTCTGCAACAATTTTTTCATCAACAATTCACTATCATCACATTATTTTCGAGCACCGATTTTCTCTCTACGGCCCTGCTGTACCTATATTATGAAGTACAAGTTTCTAACAAGGATTCTTTAAAAATATCTCGACATTACTTATATTCAAGCAATAGTGGACATCAACTATCAACGTGATTATGAACGATTATTGTTTTCGCTTGATTCATATTTTTTTTCAATAACAGTAAAAAAAAAGCAGTCATAGACTATTTTGGGATCATATGCATGTACTTAATACTTATGATACTTGAAATATTTATTTGAACACAAAGCTAATCTCAAAGGCATTGTTACCTCATGTTTATTTTCCTTCTCAAGATGTACAGATAGTTGGTGGTTTTTTTTAGCCGCTGTGAAGTCCGCGGTCAATCAACTTACTGTATTTTTAGAGCCTTTTAGAAAAGGGACTGCCGTTTACGTTTTCGGAGTATACACGGAGATCCGATAACTACTTAACCTTACCGTACGATAGCGATGCTATTGCAAGAGAAATTTACTATCATTTAGTAAATTCTCGTAGACGACTACTGTAAAAATATCAGCTGAGTAATATCTGACAGTGATTCGATGCTTGTTTTTAAAAGAGAAATCGCGCAGTAAAATCAAAGACCACTTGAATCTTGAATGCGTTGACTCTTCTACTTCGATGGCGACCGTTAAAATTTATTTTTTGAAAAGCAATTGCCTAGGTAACCTAAAAACCGTTACCACGGAGTAAACGGTAGCAAACTTATGTGCAGACCTCCAGAAAAAAATTTATTTCTGACGGGTTAAAGTAGAAGTATTGTTTGGTCTGGTTAAGTATAGCGAACTAAAAGGAGACATGTTGAGAAATTTTTCGCTTTTTTCACAAATTTTCAAAAAAACAATATTCCTCTAGAACTTATGCAAATTAGTCAAAATGGAGTTCGATTTTAAAAGTTTTGGTATTGCTAAAGTTGATCCGAGAATTATGTGAAATAGATTAAAAAAAAAAAAAAAATGAGACCAACTCGCTTTTTGAATTGTATTTGTTGTAGTTGTGCGATTAGAAACCAAAGAATTCGCATGTAGGTAAAGGGGTCGTAAGTAAAATGCAATGAGTATTGTCCATCGCATTATTAATAGGGTACGTTATATTTTAATTTTGACTATTCCACCTCAATATACTTTATAGACACATATTTTTGTTCCACATGTATTTTCTAACACATTCAATTCAAAACATTTCCATTTTTAATTTATTTGTAAAGTTTTAGTCTTTATAGGGAAGTTTAGGGGTAATATATCGTCCTTTTAAGAAATAAGTATATGGTCTCTATAGACGAACATTTTTTCTTACCTTTACGACATAACCTTTTTCATAGTCCATTTATTTATTTCATATTTCTCAGCCAAACTAGAATGACTCAATTGATCTAACGCGTTTATTTAACGCTAACAACTTATTCTTAAAACCAATACTAAAGTTAAGAAGTGTAAATATCTACCTGAATGCGATAAAAGCATCGCCCATTTCACCACCAACAATGTGAACACCTCCATCCGGTATTGAGAGACCTTTGAAAAATTGCCGTATATCCAATGCATTTGCCGACCACGGCAAATTTTGCAAACGAATTATAACACTCATCTTTTACTTGTCCGAGAATTCTACGCAATTATTATTTATTTTATTACAGGTTCAAAACATCCATTTAGCGAACAGCCATACAATAGCTATTCGCGTTGTTTAATTAAATATGTATTTATGTAAGCTGTCTTATTTATCCAATATGGTTAGTTGTAGAGATGACACGAGCTCTGAAAAATACCATAAATATACATATAACCTCACTTTTTAATGCTAATAGTTTTTCATGAAATAATTTAAAAAATATATATTTTTTAAGTATGCGTTATTATTATATAAATTCGGAAAGAATTTTTTTGTGGAATAAAAACATTGATGATATTCTGAGCTTAGACATTGAGAGCATATTATCATCTGCCATATTTAGTGCTAAAATAGTTTGATTTGCGAGGTCCAAAGGCATGATTTTTATTTTCAAGCGCATTTTGAATGTATCGATTATCGTAGGTTTATTTATACACCCACTACACACTATCAGTGGTACAGTTCCATTTTACATATATGTATGTACGTACCATATATAAATAAAAGTTGTATAAGGAGAATCTCCCAAAACCTGTGCTGACATCATTATTAGTTGTACATAATGGGGCGCAACATTGTTGCGTTTCCTGATTAGGCGATTATAAATACAAATAAAAATATATAAGCCCAAATATGAAGACATCAACTGATTCCGGCACCTCTCTTTAATCAATCATAATATAAAAACGAGGAAAGTGAATTTACTTTTGTTGAAATGCATTCAGCTTATATACATATGTAAGTAAGTGTGTGTGTAATGGTCCAATAGTCCTAACAACTTGTCTTAAACGTGTTTCGGAGATATAAAGCGACGCATATTACGAAGCAGATCAAACAAAATAACAAAATGTACGAACTTTTAGACGAAATGTCTGCATTTGTGGACATAACAAGACGTAATTGACCATTGCATCTTTGTGAAGATCATACTAATGATATTGAAACGAAAAAACACTAGAGTTCATTAGAGGAAATACATTTTCCTTTTTACCATTGTGTATAAAAGCTCTTACCAAGCATTGTTCGCGGTTATAAACGATTAAAAAGCGTGCAGTAACGGTCAAACGGTAAACTAAAAAAATAGTCGTTCGAAATAAAAGGAAAATATTGGTTTGAAGAAAATGAATTTTTGCATTGTGAGTTGAATTTAATTTAAAAAATATATATCAATCAACTTAAGGCCGTTTTATGAAACATTTCCTTTATGATATAACAAAATAAGTGAAACAAAACATTTTTCATTAACCTGAAATCAGATATGTGTCTATAAACAATTGCAATTTGTTTCGTCCAGCTTCTCCTCCTAATTGCAAAAATATCTGTGCTCATATATACAAATAAAAGTGTACCTTGGAACCACCATGACGAATTTGTGTAAAAATTCCGAGCTGAAGGTTAATTTTCTGCTCGGATAATTTATGAGTACATATAACCTAAAAATATTCAAATTCTATTTGTTGAAGTTTATACCTTCCGTTGTGATCTAACCTATAGTAAAATTTCGTTAGCTTAGTATTATATTAACACGAATGCTTAGTTAGTGGCTCATAGGGCTACCACATCACACCAGCAAACATATAGCTCTTTCTGAAGAACAGTATTCAAAACGATTACAGTAAGCATTGGTGTGCGCAAATAACAAATGGTTTAATCGAAACCATCTAGCGACATAAAATATCTCAAATATATATTTGCAGAATGTTTTCGGCGGGGCAAATTCGCGTATGGAAAAAGCGGCACAGAAATCACTCAGATCAAAGTACATTTTGTCTTTTGTGTAAATTTGATGCTTAAAATAGCTCCTACGGGCCCTTGAGCTTTCACTTACCAGCACTGCTCATCGATTATAGGTTTTTAATTTTCAAATACAATTAAAAATAATGAATTGTTTAATATATTTTTTAATATTGTTATAGAGATCTCCGATAGTCTGACTCTTTTTTGCGATTGCAGGGCAATCAAGATGTTGTGTTCTGGTGTCTCCGCCACATGATCGCAGAACCAACATAGATTTGTAGAACATTACTCCAATCTGTGCAGATGACATTTTAGTCTGCGGGGACCTAGTTCCCTTAATTTGTCCCTGAAAGAACAATTAATTGCTTCAATCTTTTTGTATTGAACTCTCTCAGAAACAGCTACTCCTGGCGAAGGAATCTGTTTCTGAGTTGTTTCCAAGTCCTGATGACGACAAGGCTAAAATAAAGAGGATGCTCGAGCAAACAAATAACGGCAGCAATATTGGGACACTGTTGTTTTTCTACAGATACTCAGCTGATACTTAAGCAAACTGCAACATTTTTGCGTCGAATATGATGCCTTGCTATACTGCCGCAGTGATTGAGACTCGGAACATACCCAAATCTCTTCGCTGTCATTTTCACAATGAGTGAGAGTGAGGTTCAGCAGTTGGGCACTTACACATGGCACCAGTGATACATAGACATGCTAGCCTCTGTACTTTCGTCAGCTTCTCAATAGGTGTTAGTGAGACTCGTTGACACTCAAGATACCTCTCCATATGTGACCATTGGTCCGACTCTCATGGTGTACAAGAGTGTTGCACAACACTTTTTTTCATCTGCATTCAATATGTAAAATAACTTCTTTAGTTGATTGTTTCGATTCAACAATCTACAGATGGGAAGTAATACTTACGTACATATGTATGTATGTATATCAGATGTGGTCTACTAAATGTATTAACGAAACGAGTTTAATTGATTATTTGGGCGTTCAAGATACCACACAAACAAAAATGTTTCAAAATATGCTCCATCCATGATAAAAGTTAGGCGGTAGATTGTAGATTGAATCGATCCCTGCTAGATTTGAGACTCAAATATTTGACTATTTTACAGTGGGATAGTGCAATTAGATAGCAACAAAATACATGACTCACGTATTTCAGCGTGTATCAAAACTAAGGGCATACCATCTGATCAAATTTGACATGGACCGGTCCATTTAAACAGCGTGTGCAAAACTAATCCACAAAATTATTTTTCAAGATGTGCACAACCTTTTTTATGCTCGGGTGAATCTGCATTTTAGTGTTTTTGGCTGCTTGTTTACTATGCAATAGGTTTGTCTAGAGCGATTTTTATAGTCTTCCAACATGTTACTACAGAGTATAATAGTTTTGTTTGTATCACCTAAAACTAATCGAGATAGATACAGAGTTATATATACACATAGTCAATAAAGTCTGCTTTTACCCGACACAATTTTTTCAGTGAAGTAAAAACACAACGTAAATAGGTAATTCAGTTCAAATTTTCTGCATGTATTTCTTCTTCATATTCTTAAGTTCAAAATGCAAAAACAAAAATGTATATTCTTATTTTCATTTTTGTGATATAAGAATTTTAGTGTAAAAACAAGTAAACATAGGCACGATTAAGTATGCGTTCATCTTTAAAATTAGTTACAAAAGTATTAAAAATGATAAAGAAAAATTAAATTTAATATTTTGTTGGATACCCGCGTTGTTTTAAAACCTCGCTCAATCGATTTGGCATTAATCTTACCAACTTATCTGTTTCCTCAGCTGTAATCTGGGACCATACTTCGTTCATTACACTTCGCAAAGCCTCTTTACTTGTTATTGTATGCTGACGAATTCTTTTATCCAACATATCCCATAGATGCTCAATAGGATTGAGGTCAGGTGATTGAGGGAACGTTTTAAGTTGTCTAGGAGCATTGTACAAGAGCCAAAGTCTAACTATTTCCGCAGTATGCTTCGGGTCATTATCTTGTTGGAACCAAAACGTCGAAGATAATACAAGATTCTCTGCACTTTGTTTCAAATTGTTTTTTAAAATGTTCAAATAACCAAATTTACCCATTGTGGATTCAATAAATTCAAGCCGACCCATATCACCAGCCGCCATGCAACCCCACACCATAATTTCACCACCTCCGTGTTTAACTGTACCATTTTGCTTTTCAAGGGCAGTTCCTAACTTGATCCTTTTATGCCAAAAATGCAAAATTTACTTTCATCCGAAAATATTACTTGTCTCCAGAATTCCGGCGACTTATTTATATAATTATGAGCAAATTCAATGCGCTTTCGCCTGTTTACAAGTGAAATATATGGTTTCTTCCGAGCGACTCTACCATGATATCCAGCTTTTCGTAAAATTTTGCTTTTTTATACTCTCGCAACCTGTTGCTACAGAGTATAATAGTTTTGTTCACCTAACGGTTGTTTGTATCACCTAAAACTAATCGAGTTAGATATAGGGTTATATACATATAAATGATCAGGATGAAGAGATGAGTTGAAATCCGGGTGATTGTTTGTCCGTCCGTCCGTGCAAGCTCTAACTTGAGTAAAAATTGAGATATCTTTATGAAACTTGGTAGACATGTTTCTTGGTACCGTGAGACGGTTGGTATTGCAGATGGGCGTAATCGGACCACTGCCACGCCCACAAAACGCCATTAATCAAAAACAAATAACTTGCCATAACTAAGCTCCGCAATAAGATACAAGACTGTTATTTGGTACACAGGATCACATTAGGGAGGGGCATCTGCAGTTAGAACTTTTTTTTTAAAAGTGGGCGTGGTCCCGCCTCTAATAGGTTTAATGTGCATATCTCCTAAACCGCTAATGCTATAATAGCAAAATTCACTAGAAGCAAATGTTTTTAGCACTTCTATTGACGGTGTGAAAATAGTTGAAATCGGCTGGCAACTCCGCCCACTCCCCATATAACGGTACTGTTAAAAACTACTAAAAGCGCGATAAATCAAGCACTAAACACGCCAGAGACATTATATTTTATCTCTGAGATGGTATAAGATGACTTTATAGGAATCGCGTTCAAAATTAGACAGTGGGCGTGGCCCAGCCCACTTTTAGGTGAAAACCCATATCTTGAGATCTGCTCAACCGATTTCAACCAAATTCGGTGCATAACGTTCTTTTCATGTTTCTTTGTCATAGTGCGAAAATGGGCGAAATCGGATTACAACCACGCCTATTTTCCATGTGACACCATTTTAAATACCACTTGATTCTTTCACTTTCCACTATGCAAATCAAGCAATAATGATTATATTGGCGTAAAACTTTGCGTGAATAATACGTTTAAAGTATGCCACCTTGCGGCCAAAAATTGTCTAAATCGAACCAAAACTGTTCAAACCCCTAAGTACTAAATATGTGGACCCCAGTGCCTATAGTTAACCTTCTACCGAAAATATCAGTCAATCCACAAAGAAATCTCAAACCAGTATACCATTTGACTTTGCGAGAGTATAAAATGTTCGGTTACATCCGAACTTAGCCCTTCCTTACTTGTTAATGGTTATATTTACGTTTTCAATAATCTTTGTGGACGTAATTCTAGAGTTAACTTTCACCATATTTATTATTTTCCGTTCTTCCCGGGCTGATATTTTCGGCCGGCCAGATCGCGGTTTTGACGTTAAAATTCCGGTTTTTTTTTAAATTGTTTACCACGCGCTGGACAGAAGAATACGTTCTTCCAATAGTTTGCCAAATTTTTCTGAAACTTTCGCCATCTTTCAACAACTTAATGATACTTTTTCTTTCCGACAGACTAATTTCTTTTCCTTTGGTTTCCATTTTTTAAATATTATTAAAACGCGTTACGAGCTCTTCAAACGACTAATTATATTAAAACACAATAGAATCTACGCAAAAAGAACGAACAAATTTATGAGAAGTAACGGTATTTCCAATTCAAGCTAACTGAACGCAGACTTAATGGTGCCTATGTTTACTTGCTCTTACACTAAAATCTCATTATCACAAAAATTAAAATAAGAATATACATTTTTGTTTTTACATTTTGAACTTAAGAATATAAACAAGAAATACATGTAGAAAATTTGAACTAAATTACCTATTTATATTGTGTTTTTACTTCACTTAAAAAAATTAGTCGGGTGAACGCAGACTTTATTGGCTATGTGTATATATAAATGATCAAGATGATGAAACGAGTTGAAATCCGAGTGACTGTCTGTCTGTCAGTCCGTTCGTCTGTGCCAGCAATAACTCGAGTTAAAAAAAAAAAAATGATAGCGAGTTCGTAGATGAGCGTATTCGGACCACTGTCACGCCCACAAAACGCCATAATTCGAAAACCTATTAAACTGCCATAACTAAGCACTAAATTAAGATATGAATTTGTAATTTGGTACAGGGGATTGCAGTAGCAAGAGGGACCTGTATGATCAAAATTTTGAAAAAATGAGCGCGGCCCCGCCGTCTATAGATTTAATGTACAAATCTTCTAAACTACTAAAGCTACAATAACCAAATTCGCTTAGTACAAATCCTATAAGAATCCCTATCGACAAATGGATGAAACCGCATTATAACCCCGTCCTCTTTCCATATAACGGTTTTGTTAAAAACCACCAAACGCGCCAGAGACATTAAAGTTACACCTAAGATGATACAAGAGGGCTTTATAGGAGCCGGGGTCAAAATTGGACCATGGGCGTGGCACCGCCCACATGTAGGCGAAATCGCACAACTCCGGACCTACTCGACCAATTTAAACTAAATTTGGCACATAACATTCTGTTAACAATTTTTAATTCCATCTGATTTTTTCACTTTCCAGTATACAAATTTAGCAAGCCCCCACATATCGAATATGTGGACCCCGGTGAGTATGGCTGACTTTTTCCTAAAAAAATATTGGTCAATCTGAGAGATATGTTATTGAAATTCGTGGAAAATGTTTATTTGATAATAATATACGCTTGCGTCAAAAATGGGTTGAATCGGGTCAATACCTCCCTTAGCTCTAAACTTCCAGATGACTATATACCATATATATATCATAAAATTTAGTGGACATATTTTCTTAAAAATTTTATAAGTATATTAATGGTTTGGCGCTCAATATAAGTGAAATTGGTCTTGGTCTAAAAATCATATCCCTAATACAATGAACTTCGATCTTTTGGTTGACGTTTTTCACATCAATTCAATATATTAAATTTAGCCTCTTCTGTTAATTTTACATCACATATATTTCATTTTAGGATGATTTAAGTATAATTTTCGTTGACGGGAAGTAAAATATAGTAATAAAACTAAGTGAGTCTACAAAATAAGTTAATATGATACCGATTTCGTCGAACAATGAAGTTGAACCCTTTCGCTAAATTTTTCAATACAAAGTTTTACCAACACCTGAATGTATATAGCCGGCTTTGATCCTTGCAAGCTGCAAGAGTATAAAATTTTTCGTTACACCTCAAATTAACCCTCTCTTATTTGTTAGCAATGGAATCGCGGCTACGAAATTGTTGAAAATGCTACAGAAATGTTTTGGGGAGTCTACTTTATCACGAACACATGTGATAGATATTTTTATAAAAAATACTGCAAAATGGAGTTTTTTTTTTGTCAGTCCGGGTAATATTTGATCAGATGGTATATATAGCAGGTGAAACGTTATGTGGAGATTTGATCAAATGGTACCACGGCAGGCGCATTTCAAAATATTTAAGTTACAAGGTCATACGGAAAATTATGGAGTTTTACACTTTAAAACTTTACTATTTTCAGAAAGAAATATTTCGACAATTACCAAAAAAAATTATGTAGAACGTTTTAGTACATTATAAACGACGTAGAAAAAAAAAATAGATTTTCTACAAAATGTACATTATTTATTGCCTAAAAGGGTATAAAAACATCGGAGACAATAATCCGTGCCGAATTTCGTGAAGATATCTCTTCAAATGAGAAAGGATTCCATACGAGGACTGAACTTTGATCGTTCAGTTTGTATGGCAGCTAAAGGCTATAGTGGCCCGACATCAGCGGTTCCGACAAATGAGCACCTTCTTAGAGGGAAGAGAACGTTTACAAAATTTCAGATTGATACATAAAAAACGGAGAGCGACTTGTTTATATACATCTATATATGCCGAAAATTCTGTTCCTTCTTCCATCTTCGATAGGGCACTAAACATAAACGGTTAAATGTGAAGTTGGCTGTTGTCATCAAACGAAATTACTTAGTGAATGACCCAATATATATACATATATTTATTATTATTATTATATTATAATATTATACATATTTCGAGCTGCTAAATTGAACTGCATAATTTTTTCATCTGGTTCACATCTCTGACTTCTACTTTTGATGGAGAAAATATTTTTAATGTATGCACTTATGGTAGATACACATTTTTTTGTATTAAGTGTGAATAGGCAATTTTGATGGTTTCATCGTAATTAAGAATTGAAACTAAAAATTTATGGGCATGCAAATTCAAAAGGGATGAGAAACATGTTTGTGCTGCTCGTCAATGTCATTTTGAAAATCTCGATTTTCAACCCACCAACTAACTGTAACTTTTTTTTAACAACATTATACTTAAAATTATTTTGTTCCTTAGGTTCCAGTTTAAGTTTTATTCATCAATAGAAAACTTAAATTACAGTTTATAATATGGCTTTATACAAGTAAGTATTTACATAACTGAATATCGTTTCACTTGCAATATATAGATGAAAAAAGGGGCTTCTTTCCTCATCACGTTTTTGCACTTTCCCCAATTTAAGAATTGCATTTCGTGTTTTCGCCGGTTTTAAAATTCACTCCGGAACTGTGAGTCGAAGTTTTGCCAAATATTATACAATTTTCTTTGGTAGGGCAGAATAACTCTTTTACAATTATACACATTTTTAGGTATGAATATAGTTTTTTGTAACAAGTTTTCGAATGTAAGTGAAAACTTTTTACCGGATATGAAACATTACATGTACTTACCTATACTAAATAAAGTGAGTTCGGGCTGGAACTACAACGAGTGAGTTATTTTTCATGATAGAACACTGATCTTCGAACATTCGAATGGCACTTTTGGAAAGTTTTTTTTTTCAATTAATAAAATATTTCATAAATCAAATATTTTAATTCGATGCCCTTAAACCACAAATTATTCTGTAAAGGAATAAATCACTTATAAACCGTTTACTCATAAGATTAAACGACTGATGAAAACGAATAAAGAGCAAAGAGGCATATAAAGCTCATAACACTCATATTTTAATGATTTCACATTTTGTTCGATGAAAAAACTATGCAATAAATTTTGACTATAAATTTATTATTCTAAATACTAATTTTTTAAATTATCGATCGTGTTTAATTGAGCACATTATCGAACAAATATGTCTTTATAGGTTACAGTTTCCCGACAAGTGTCCCTTTCAAAATCTTAATTTGGAATGAAAAAGTAGTTTTCCCTTTTTATTCTGCGCAAAATTTATATAAAGCTGAAATATTTATTTTAACGAATGATGCTAAGCTGATAGATCTTGGTTGGATATAATTAAGGATCCGGTTCGGTTAGGTAGACTCTGCGGGTAGAGAAATAGTTTACTTGAGAGTAGAAATCCTCGACACTTTGGAATTTGGTCCGTATATATGTAGGTATAGTTACAATTAATTTTCAGGCTTCTACAAAGTAGTCGGTAATACGACTGATACAAATTTGGATTTGATCTCGTCATGTAGACCCCATTGCCATAGGAACTTTTAGGATAAGACAATGGATGCTAATAAGCAGCTCCTTTTTCATAGTATTTCTATTTAACTTACCATGTTTCTTTCATTTCTTTAAATACTCAACAACATTTTCACTGTCTTTTCAGATATATTCCTTCGTAATAATAGTACTCACACTTGTTGATGCATCTACAATAGCTACAAATAACCATGATTCAAATACTGAAGATTTAAACATTTTTGGCACAAAGATCAGCGATCCAAAATCTATCGGTCAAGTTAAGAGGGACACAAGTCTTAGCTATGCAGCGACAAACATTGATTCCAAGGAAGGGACACGTGTAAAAACTATAACTGTTATTAAAAATCACAGTGGGAAAAATAATGGGAAATTAGTTATTAATCCAAATTTGCATAAGAATGAGGATTGGGCGAATGCTTTTAGAGATAATTTCGATAGCTATGGCGGTATACCAGACGTACCGGATATAGATGAACTCTTTGATTTTGTAAAAAATAAACCTAAGGATGATAAAAATGACGAGAAGAAAGAAGTTACGAATTTGAAACCAAAGGACGTTACAAGAAAGGAAAGCACAATGCCAACTGCAGAGGCTTCATCAGAAATTGAAGCTACTACTACTACTCCAATAGTGGTAAAGATTAAAGGTGATGCAGAGATAATACCAGGATTAAAAAAGAATCAGACAAATGCACGTTCGCAATCATTGGGTGTAAATAAAGAGTTAACGCGTGAGGCATTAAATAATACAAATTATACCTCACCGAAGAACATTTATTTTGAGAAATATATACAGGATGTTTCGAGAGGCTACGATTACCTCAAACCCTGTCCTCAAGGTGGAAAAGGTGTTGTTAGTATTACAAACCCATCTTCGGGCCGTTCCTATGATATACCAGTATCAGAAGATTCACCAGGCACGCCATACATAGCACCGTCCATCACTAAGAAAACCCAGGTGTCAGGATCTCAGCCGCAACCGAACAGTACACAAAATGTAGCATCTACTTTTGTGCGTCCGAATTTTTCCGTTAACTCCATCTTACCTTCACTTCAACCAACGTCTCCGAATCCAACAAGTCAGGATCAAGGAGGGAGTTTTTACACCAGTCAACGGCCGTATGTTGCACCCAATTTACGGAGTGGGTTTAATGCTAATGGTGCCACGACACCTCGAACATTATATAGAAGTGATATTGGCACCTATCGTGGAAGTTCGTTTTTATTAGGTGCAAATAGGGCGAATTTAGCCAGATCCCGTGGCTTAAAGTATCGATAAGACTAAATTATATAATAAAAATGCAAATGCCTTTAACATAGATACAAATGCAAATGTTTATATAAGAAATTTGCATGTGGATATTGAAACGATCGAAAAAAAAGTTTTTACACAACTGTTGTATGCACTTATGTATGTAATCATAAAGGATACGCAATCTTTGAAATTCAATACGCAAACTGTGAGAAAAATTACATCTCTTCTTATATTTTTCGTTTAATATATATTTCGTTTACATTTACCTATTTCCTAATCGAAGCTATATGTTATTTCATACATATTACACTATGGTTTGCTTTAGGCAGAGTTCAAAGAGTAAGAGAAAGTATCTATTGCTGCAACTTCCGTTTGACATTTTTTAAATAGTAAAAAATAAAAAATATAAATAAGAATGCAACTACTAAGCATTTAGTTAGTTTAAGAAAAGTTAAATAATGTAAATAAAACCAAAAGGGGAACAAAAATTGGAACATATTATTTTAAATTGAGATTATGATTGCTTTTGAAGGCAAATAATGTGGTTCGGGAACACTTATGTGCCGCACAAACTGGTACAGTTATACCAATTATTTTTAAACAGTAACACCAATAAAACAAATACTTTAAGGTAGCAGTCTGGTAATTTGATTTCGAAAGTTCGATTTTTTTTCAAAAGTACTATACATATATTATATTAAGAAAACACTGTAAAAATTTTAGAACGAAAATCTAAATATTGACGAAGTTATAGCACCTACAAAGATGAAATGATCCGAAACTTGTTGATTCGAGAGAGAGCTGCCAAAACCCACATTTTTTAAAACATTTGTCAATCATGCCACTTTCTAGAGAAAAAGGATTGAGTATTTTAAAAATAACTTCTGGGTATTTTACATTTCGTTATTATTTTTAGGTGCTCGGTTCCTGAGTAGGCCTATATAACGCATATACATCCCTAAATATGTGTATTCATATTATAAAATTTTTAAAACATCATATAAAATAAAAAAATTATATATAAATAAAAAAAATTATAACAAAGAAATAATACAACTCATAATAAAATATCATGGTTTTATGATTAACGTTTTCAATTAAATTAGCAAAATAAATTTAGTTGCACGTTCCTTGAAATTTCGTTTCGCACTGCTTCTGTTAGTTATTTTTTTCGGGTTTATTTATGGCTTCCCGCCTTTTTTGATATCAGCGGTTCAAAATTCCCTAATCTTAATAATCAGGGAAAGAGAATAACAGAAAAATTTGGGAAAATGAGTCTCGCATCATGTCATCCTTGGCACCTATACGTGAGCGTCTCGTAGTACTACGCGCTGAGCCGCACGGTAGTTGCAAGTTGTCAGAATTAGTCGCAAGTCAGAAAAAGTGAATAACAATGAGGCCTAAGAAGTTAAACGTTTATTATACGCTCCAGGGATAGACGATTGGAATGCAGTATAATATATAATAATAAATATAATGCGATGAAAAATATTTAATCTGTTTTTGAAACTTTAAACGCGATTTTCTCGAAACAACGTTTTTACGGTCGACCCGTATGATAAAAAAAATTTCTTTCCAATTGGGCTGAAATTTTAATATTATTCTACTCATCAATAGCTCTTTTTCCATTTTTTATTGTTTAATCCACCCAGAATGACAAGCTCACAGAACAGTAATATTTTTAATGTTTGTTGTATCGTTAGAAAACATTTTGCAACTAATTTTAAAGATTGCTGACGAATCAACAGTTATTAGCCGATTATAAATCAGAATCTGACCCGGTTACGTACATCTGACTGCTATGGGAACGGCAGTTTTCCATGTATTTATTGTAAATAAATAAGGAATATAACTGAAATTGTTTTCTTAATGCATTTTTAGCAATATTAATATCAATATTTTGGTGAGGTTTGAGCTTCATGCACGCTGTAACCTACTCAATTAATGATTTATAGTAAAAATAATTAATAAATGTATACGTGGTATTAACGCAGCCGCAGAACAATCAATACTGTGCAAATTATTATCTCCGGTGGTTGTTCCTTATGCATTAAATCACACACCGTTTCAATAATGAACTTCGCAATATATTGTTAATGATATGCACACAACTATTTTATTATTATAAATGAGTTTAGGGCTTTGTTGAATACAAATAAAAATTATTGTACACTTTCGTTTTAGTAGCGTCGAACGTAGCGCTGCAAAGCGTACAAACGGCGGCGTCACACTTTTTCACTCATTACGACATTTTTAGAAAGTTTCATTGAACGTTACTCACCACTAAAACCAAGAAAAATTGAAAACAAACTAATCCAATAAAGCCACTAGCAAATGGACTCGTTTTCGTGATTATAATATCTTTATTATCAGTAAAATTATTTTAATTGTTCATCAAAATTTGTCTGCAACAAGAATTTCTTTTGTCACCTATTTTTTCATCATATGACAAATATACAGATATACACTTTCGTTAAAATTTAAAGATGCCATGGCAATATTGCAAATTTCAGTGTTGCAACGCATGAGTGATGCCACAGTTTTGTAGCATATACCATTTTTGTGTACTGACTGAGAACGTAAAACGTGATATATAATACTATCTCTGCTAACACATTTAGTAAAACGCAAAAATTAAATATTAATATGACTATGGTTCACGAAAGTCTATTAAGTTTTTTATTATAAAGGTGTTATATACGTATTTATATTAATAGAAATATTTTACAGAGACGCGCTGCACGGTAAATAGAACGTAAAATAAAATTTTAACGAAATTCAGTTGCGCGCCACCTGTTGGTGAGCTGGATTAACTTTGTGTTTTGGCAATACTGCATATCAGTCATTTCGTATTTATTTTTCATAGTAATCAGTGAGTTTTTCCACCAAGATCGTAAAGTGATTTTTGAAAAAGTTAAAATCGGTTCAATTGCTTACAAAATCGCATAATTTAGTACAAATTACGGACAACTCGCGCACAAAAATCGAATTACCAGTGTTTAAAGTTTTATCAGTGTATTTAGACAAAATATCTAAAGTGAGGGCACTCGCAAAGCCAAAGAAAAAACGTCATCTTTGTCGAATTGATTCGCTGGCGACTACAACGACATTCACAACAGGAGAAAAAAGAAATTAACAATAATCATATAAATGACAAGTGGTTGATTTTGTTTTACTTTTAGCAACTTATTCAAACGCTTTTGTAAAAAGAAAATAAAATTGTAAAAGTGTCAACAAAAATACATAAAAAACAGCCTAAATAAGACGCAGACAAACAAGGTTAGTGCGAATTGGAAAGTTGTATATCTGTGCAAATTTCTACATTGAATAGTAATATTCAGTAAAATACATATATGTACAAATGTTTTTATTGAAAATAGGTTTTATTTTAAATGGATCAAACGAAAGCAGCATATTTAGTGCTTGTACAGACTCTAAATATTCTAATATATTTATTTATCCAATTAGTTTACCATTCTCTTTAATTTCCAGTTATTTAATACATAAATTAAAAATATATTAATTTCATAAGAATTAGGAATTTGGATATATATCTGCAATAAAAATTAAAGACTCTCTGGTCTTCCTATCAAAGCAATTTAACGGCCATTATACTGCATTATACGCTAATTTTAAGGCGAATAGTCGCTTAGTGTGCATTTTTACAAATATCAGAAGCCATATGTTCGCGTGGGGCAACGACACATGAATTTGATTTTGTGTATTTGCATGCGGATCCGTGTGTCTTCAAGAATGTTATCGCGACGTTTGTTCCACAATGTTTACTTATATTAGAAGTTCGGTTTGGTAGTTCTTGCAAAAATTGGAATTCCCTAATAGTGTTAAATTCTTAATTGAAAACTTTTCGGAGAAAAATAATTGACACAAGCTAGATACAAAATATTAAATTCCTTGTGCTATTAATTAAAAAAATATTCTATATTATTCTGCCTGGTTACTTCAATTGTTCCAGGTGCTTAATATTGTTTTACTTATTTTATTCTCTACTTCTCATGTCTATTTCTGCCCACTTTTGCGTACAAACTTACAAACATATTTGTATGTATTTTTACTGCCTTTATTTGTGAAGTTCGTGGTTTTGTCACTATTTTCATCGATTATAACTTTGTATGCCTATGAATACGAATGTATACATATTAAAGTTTGCGTTATTTATTTATCTTTTCGTTTATTGTTTGACCGTGGATTGTTTGTTGAACAGTTTGTTACTCGTTTTCCAAAGCTTACCGTTTTGCCACATAATAAAATAAATTGCTTGTAACAAATAATTGTAAACAAATATATGCCTCAATTTCATATAATAATTTACACTCCTTACCATGTTTTATGTGTATTTTTATTTATTAAGCTTTCTTTCTGAACGATGAGTCAAAACCAAGCTTTGTGGTCATCGCGTGAATAAGTAACGAGTTTTTCAGCTTTAAAGGTATGCAGCTTTTGCAATATTCAAGTTTTTTTTTTAAATTACTGCTCAACATGAACGTGAACGCCTGACGTAGGACAACCTTTATTTTTAATAATAAATAAACTATTAAAATTTATTTCTGCAGCCCTTTAAATTAATGAGTTATAGCTAGGAAAAGTTTGTTCATCTTGTTCTACTTTACTTAAACTAATACATATGAAGGAGTTAATGTAAATACCTAAGATATAATTGAAATCATTGATTTTGTTTCTTTCATTATATAAATTCAGACTTTTCACTTAGTAAATCAGAAAGAATGTAAAACTTCCATGACTCCCAACACAAACACACGCACTCACGGCAATTGTAATAATAATAAAATCGAATTTCGGTAAAAATATATAACGGCAATAAATTATTCAGCTTGCCTGAAGTTAATTACTAAGTCGGCTTTTACATGTTCAATATATATCGTCTGCGATTCTGGATAGCGATACTTATTAAACGGTTAGTTTGCAATATTGGTGGATCGCGATCAATATCAAAACATATTTAAATATTTTGAAATTCGCATCGCCGTAAATATTGAAGGTGTAGCATTTAATCGGGTTCCAAATATGCAAAGTTACGCAATATGGCGTTAGGAAGATAAGATCTCCTACTAAAATAATCTCCCAGACAGTTTTGCGATCGCTTGACCCAGTATTGTTTCAACACACGTCAAAAATTGACACCAGCAAACTGAAAATACGCCAAATTTTACGACAAAGGCGAAAACACAAACCAGACAGCTGAAAATGTGAATAGTGTTTATGGTTCTGATACTGATTTTGATGTCAAAGATGCAAGTTTAATTGGAGAAAATATTGAAAATAATCGAAATCGTAAAATCACATTAAATATATAATACAAAAAAGTTATTGAACTAAAGGGTGCATATTCTTCTTTCTTTTAAATTGGTAAGTAGTGAATTTTATAAATTTTTTACAGATTTGGTTTGGAAATCAAAAATTCACAAGGTGACCCATATGGTTTAAATTCAACAACAAATAGCTAATGTAAACGGTGTTTAACTGTAATCCTAATGGTTGTTTTTTTAGGCATATACTTCTTCTGTTGTGTCTAATTTTCATATTTTTCGCTAAAATATTTTATTGAATTTTATTTCAATAGCTTTTGTTATCTGATAAATTCCGATAATTGTTGTTGGCGTAAAAGCCTGTTAACTAGGTACAATCAAGTATTTCATTTTGCATTTATTGTACTGCTCTGTTTGAAGCTGAAACGGGCAGTGCGAGAGATGTTTTCCGCTCACCAAGTACTTGACTATCTGCAAACGTGTCATTAGCTTCGTTTTGCAACAATGTGGCTATCTATTTCCCATACTCTTCTTGCGATTGTCGGTGGTTCATATTATTTTATTTTATTTTTATTTTTATTTTGCTTCTTATTCGCATATCAGTATGCAGTAATGTAACCATCATGCTTCTCAAGGCTAGCGTTGTTGGTTGACTGATTGAATGGCGCGTTGGTGAGGTGTTTGGCGTTCGCAGTTATGCAGCAGCGTCTAGGAACTTCCTCTTCCATCATAAATTTTGTTTGTCTTCTCTACTTTGCAGTCTCATATCTTTTTGCACGCTTAGCACCGCGTTCTTGTCTACAAATATTGTTGTATTTATAACAGTTAAGCATTATACTAATTGCGCTACACCTATCTGAGAGATACTTACGTACAAACATACCTATTTCCTCGTATATGGATGTATCTCGTTTTCAACTTGCTTCGCGTTGCGTAATAATGCGTTATTCATACGTCCTGTACGCCAAAACACACACAGACTTACACATATAAATACATGAAAGTTGCAACTACTTATGTATCTGAACCCACAACTTCATCACTTTTCCTCCTTCCTCTTTCAATCTTCTATCTACATAAGTTTCAGCTTGTGCTTCCAAATCGTCGAGTCAGCGAACTACTTAGACAAGCAGTCATCCAGCCAGTCAGTTAGTCTAGCATTCAGTTAACAAGTCTTACTTACTCATCAGTCTTCGCCCTGCAGTGGTCTCACAAGGTGACATCAGCTTCGTTATTGCGGTGTTGGATTAGCGCCTTTTTGCAATTACCGCTTTTTCTTTTCATGTCTGCTGTTACCTGGCCTTGCCAATTTCTGTGGGCTCTCTCTATTTTCCTGTTTTAATATAAGTTTTCTTATACCTACATGTTTAGCTGTGTTTATTTATTTCATGGGCACATTACCAGCTCACCATCTATTGCTCATTATCGCACAACTTATGTGGGCATCGCCTTTATTTTTTCCCCATTTTCGCTCCTGCCTTTTGCTTTTACCTTTTTCCTTTAGTTTAATGAACTCTTGCGGGTTTACAAATTACCTTCCTGTTGTAAATTGAAACATTACCTTTTACATTAGCAACAAACAGCCCATTGCTGAGGCAAATCTACACTCGGTATGTAAATTTTAAGTGTGTAAGTAGTGAACACTCGCTTAGACAGACAATTATTATATCACTGGTAGCAAATTATTCACTCGTAAACGTTTGCAATATGCGCGGAGAGGAATTATCTTTTTTAGCTTTTCAGACTTATAGTATGTACATATGTATAATATGGATAACTTGATAAGAGTTAGTTGTGCAAGTAATAGATTTTCTATTGTAAAATTCATAAAATTATTCGGGTTCTAATATCCCTCATACTCACACAATAGTATTTTCTTAGCTGAAAGCGCTTCACTTGTCAAATTGACAAGCTTGAGTTTGACAAGATTGTTTCAGTTCATTATTATCAATTACTCGGTATTCACTTTTCTACGCTGAACAAAGTAAAAAGTAAAAACAAATTAATGCTTGTATCTGAAGTATTTTTATTTACTTCATTGCTGTGCACTAGGTCGTCCACTATGTGCTTAGTCTACTAAAGCTCTTTAATCCAATAATTATGAAAAACAATCGAAGTTATTATACAAAGCCAACATCCTTATTTAAACCATCATTGATCCTATATTACTTTTTAACCAATTTCGCAAGCGCCTTTACAATTAGATTTGACCGAGTTTTCGTAAACAAAAAAACTCCAACTCACTACAATCTTATCACATTGAAATCAGTTGCTATATCGAGCTTTGATTAATTTTTCAGAAAAATAGGATAAGTTATATTGCCTGGCAGTCCGCCATATATTGGAGGTTCAGCTTAATACGAGCTGAAGTTAGATAGATACTGTAGTATTTCGGAAGATTGAAGGAAAAGTGTGCCATCTCTTTCGCAGAGAATACTAAAAAAAGATCTGAGATTGTTTTGCTGGATATTTTCACGAACAAATGTGTATGGTTTCCCATTCTGCTTTTAGAAGCGAACGGCCACAAAAAGTAATCAACGTTTAGTGAACAGTTATTTTTTTTAAGTTTTTTTTTTAACCATCTGGCCATATAGACATACAATACATTTATGAAAAGTCTAATATTAAAACGAACCAATATTTCCACATATTATTTCTCTACTATCTCTAAATCGTGGATTATGTTATAGTCTGCAACCTCTATACACACAAAGCCTTTGGTATCTTCGCACTTCCTTTATAATATTATATTTGTGCAGATAAATGCTTTTATTTTCGCGTGCGTGACGTAGTGCCATTTGAATGTTCAAGGATTTCAAGGTGTGTCATCTGCCAAGTTCCTTGCAGCGGAAGCCAGCGTGGCCATTTTTTCTACCGTATTCAGTAGAGCTCATCCCTCATAGCCAGGCAGTCTGACAGTTACTCGGGTATGCATACATACAAGTACATATGTTAGTATATGAATGTACATGTGTATGCGTGCAGTTCATAACGTCTGTGGATGATTATTTGGTAGAACGCTATCATGATTTACATTCATTTTTCCAGAGTAAATAAAAAAGCACGTCGTTTTGGCTTTTTTCCCTACTTTATTTGGCTAGCCTTTATCATTATTTTGTTGTGTAGATATAAACTATTTTATTTTCTTTCAGTTCAAACTCCTAACATATTATTTTTTTGCTTCATTTTTGTCACACATTCCTCGTTTCTTTGTTGCAACACGCTTCGTACGACACAAGTACCCTGAGTAGCTGAGTGCAGACATAAGTGTGCATGTTGCTTTTGTTGTTGCCGGACGCTTTTGGGAAATCCCTTTAAATGTACGAAAAATCGCTACTCTCTTATTTCACTAAGCTGTGCCAAAATGTGACCTAGTTTATAACGGTATTTTTGCTTTTGTGTGAACTCTTACAGATCTGCATGTTTAATGCGACACTTTTGCTTTTCTTTATTTAAGTTCACTTAACCTGAATGATTTAAAGAAAAGCAAATTTTATTGTCGGCAAATTGCTCAGTGTTTCGGTGGGTGCAGTTTGTTGCTCCAGTGCTCTCTCCTTTTTGCGGAGATTCTTACTAAAGGATACAAATGCAAAGAGAAAAAATATTTTATGTAGTCAATGTCGTTTTATTTAGTTTTAGAAAACTTTACTACAGAAAATTGGAATAATTTCGAAAATTATCATCAGGATTTACTGCGCGCAACACGCAGATATAAGAAATTGTTATTGATTAGAGGTTGCACCTCGAAGCAATAAATCTATGGTTTCTAATGGTAATCAAAACTACTTGAAAAACGCCAAAGTAGTCTTGAGCTCGAAACTACGGTTGAGTCATCCACACAATAAACTTTTTAAATGTTGACACTCAATCTATCACTCTCGGAATCTAATAAGTACCGCTATTTTTATTTTTAGATGCGTAAAGAAATGAATGAGTAATTCTTATAACAAGTTCGGGAGGGCTAAGTTCGGGTGTAACCGAACATTTCATACTTTTGCAATTTGCCAGGATCAAAGGCAGGGAAATACCTTCAGGTGCATAAGGTTTGTTAGAACCAAAAAAAATTAATATGTGTAGTATATTGTAGTTTGGGTAATTTCTGGACCAATTTCACACATTCTCTGCATTAAATTATGGTGTATCCAATATTGTATATTCATTCAAATTTACTTATTTATATTATTGACCCGGTACCACCCATTTTTGACATATAGACTTATTATTGTCAGAAAAAGATTCTTTCCGAATTTCTATGGTAAATCTCACAGATTGACCGATATTTTCGATAAAATGTTCGCTATACAAACTGGGGTCCATATATTCGGATATGGGGGCTTGAATAACGTTAGTCCGATTTGAAGAATTTTTAGTAATAAGGTGGCGCACCTCAAAGCCACTATTCGTGTAAAGTTTTATCTCGATACATTCATTGGTCCTTAATTTGCAATACTGGAAAATGAAAGAATCAGATGGAATTTAAAATTGTGTTAGATTCTGCACTGAAACAAAGGAATGTAAAGATAATATTGCATCAAAAATTTGGTCGATATCGGTCGAGTAGGTCCAGATATATGGGTTTTCACCGAAATGTGGACAGTGCCGCGCCCATCGTTCAATTTTGACCCCAAAGCTTATAAAGTCCTCTTGTAAAATTTTATGTTACTGGCGTTTTTAATTTATTGATTTATCGCGCTTTTAGTAGTTTTTAACAGAACCTTTATATGGGGAGTGGGCGGGGTGATCACCCGTTACAAATAACCGTTAGCGGAACAAAAATTTTATACTCTGTAGCAACACGTTGCAAGAATATAAAAATATTGGTCGAAAACTGATACTTGAAAGCCCTACTTTATGCCTCTAAAATCGCGAAAAAATAATAAATAAAAATTTCAAAATTTCAGTCCTCTAAATCGACCTTTGGCCCGCTGTGCTGCCGATTTCATGCCCGTTTAACAATAATTATAATATTATTTGCTTTTGCAATTAAGCAAATGCTGTTTTCCATTATCAATTTTCTATGGCATTAAATAAATTCGATTCGCAGTTTCAGTGAACTTGCTGCTTTAAAGTTAGCCTCTATCGATTTTCCACCGACACCAT